GTTAGCTCGAAACACTTCGATGCAGTACTACAGGCAAGCCAAGATTTGGCTCCTCGACCAGTTTCCTCAGCACCGAGCTTCCTTGGAAACTCGTCTGCTCAAAATGGGGAAGACTCTAGATAGTTTTTGTATGAAGCGTGACGGTGGTGGCTTCATCAGCAAGGCACCACCATGCACAAAAGTTGACTTAAAACGACTGCTTGTGTATTTGTACGTTAATGCTAGCTGCTCAAGCGACTACCAAGATGCCGCGCTGTTGTGTCTGCTTTGGCACCTCTTCGGAAGAGCCTCGGACCTCGCGCTCCTGAGGAAGCCCAACGTATCCATCGATGCTGGAAACGTGCTCTTCGTTCGCTTCATCAGGATGAAGACTTCCGAGGAACAAGGCTTGTCACTCTTCGCTGGGACAGAGTTTGAAACGTGCCCGATGCTTGCCATGGCGCTTGCTCTGCTGATGCAGACCGCGCCATCCCCAAGCGTCATTGACAACCTTCCGGAGACGCCCGACCAAGCTGCGATCTCCCTTTCTCCTGACGTGCCGCTCCTGGAGGTGCTCGACCACCCTGCAGACACGACCGGGCTTGGAGTGCCGTCAACAACTGGTGTGGCGACGACCCCTACGGTCTACTCCCACGTGAACCGCGTGCTGGACCGGATCACCGTAGCTGCAGGAGTCGACGCCCCGCTGACATCTCACTCATTCCGACGTGGTGGCGCGCAGCACGCTAATGGAAGCGGAGAGCTCACAGTGCGATGGATCTTCGACAGAGGAGCTTGGAACATGAGCACGACAAACAAGGGGTTCAACTACATCTTCAACACAAGCAAGGAAGACCACAAGGTTAGCAAGATACTCAGTGGCCACGATGCAGACGCGAAGGTGGTGCTCCAGAACTTGGTGTCGTTCGATTCGCATACTCGGTCTGTGATCTCCAGCTTTCAGCATCACCTGTTCAGCACCTGCCACAACCTCCAGGAAGCACGTCACAATGTTAATCAGGCGGTTCTAGATGTGCTCACCTCGACTGTCATTCGCCACTATCCGCTGCTGAAGAACCTGAACGCTGAAGCACCTGCCGTCAAACGTATTGACGCTTGTGTCGCCGAGGCTGGGTGTTCACTGGCAGAGTTGCTGGCTTGGTCGTCGCATCTGGCAAGTCCTGAACCCGTCTGCGAGGAACTCAAGCCACAATGCACAACGCAACCACCATCACAAGCATTGGCACGAAGCGCAGAACAGAAGATCATCGACCATCAAACTACTGTCATTAACCACTTTATCGAGCACGTCAAGCTTCAAGATTCTCGCATGGACGCACTCGAGGCTAAGCTGAACGATCCTACACAAGTTGCACGTAAACGACACAAACAAGAATCGAGCACGAGCGATGTCAGTCAAGCAAGAAAAAAAACAACGCAGAGGAGCAGCTACTCACCTTCATGCGACTTGGTACGCGTGGTACGCTCATGAAC